ATGCTGGAGTGTTTTAAATGGCAATTCCTTTATGTGTCACCATTTTGTTATTGGTGTAGAAATGCAGCCATGCTCTGCTCCTGCCAACCCTGCTTTGCACCATTAATTTCAGTGGGACTACTCATGTACTTAAAGTTAAGTATTTGCATACATGTTTGCATACGTGTTTGCAGGACTGAGGCCTCAATTAACAATGGTTACTATGGTCCGCTGAAGGGAGATCTACAATTCTACATAATCACTAGCTGTTGTGAACATACAATCACACCAGTGAAGAAAAAAAGGAAGGAGGGATGTCCCACTAATCCACACCTGCATGTCAGTTGTGCATCACAACAATATCATTAGCTGCCTCTTATACACAGAACAAATATCCCTGTTCCCATATGTAGGGTCCTGGAACAATCATTGAATTTATAACTCACTTTGCCTAATCCTATTCTTTTTTGTGCAAATTCTGTATCTACTGCCATGTTTATAATGTTATTTTATTATCTGTCAGTCTACACTCTGATCAAGTTAATCTCTCTTGCAGAGCCTGAATAAACAACTTAATTTGCTAACCGTTAGTGTTCTTATCAGAATAAAAACAACTGATCCCTTTGCTAACTGTGTCTTCGCGTTTGAACTGTTATCCATTGTGTCACGTATGTCTGAATTAGGACCCAGCCCCTTGTCCACACTCTGTTGTTGACTTCAATGGGAGTTTTGTCTTTCTAAGGCCTGCAGGATGGGGCATTTAACTAGATCATGAAATAGACTGAACACTCTCAATTTCCATTAACTTCAGTGGGAGTTTTACTTGTGCAAGGAATGCAGGATCAAGCTTTTGTGTTGGTAAAAACACTTTACAGAGCTTTGTATTACTAAATAAAATAAGTTAAAGTTTCAGGGCTTTATGCTGCTTTATAAACAGATCTTGCTGTTTATAAAGCAGCATAGCTCGGTTGCCACCAGTGGCACTACACCAATTTATATCAACTGAAGAGCTGGCCCAACATATTTTGAATTATCTGTTTTTTAAAAAGCGCAAATCTAAAATGTAATTAATAAAGTGGTCTGGATATTTAATAAAAGGAGAAAATACAGGTATACTGACTGATTGATTGATTTACAGTTTGTAAGTATTCTGTCCTTTGTTTAAAAAAATAATAAAGTGAATTTTGAAAGTGCTTTCCTAATAACAGGTTTAAAGATCAGGCTTCCCTGAAGTGTAAAGCAAATGACAAGTCTAGAGCAAATCTTATGCGGACTAAACAGATTGGTTTTTCAGTTCTTTTCCTTATCCACACTGAATCATTTTCAAGTTCAAAGATTCACTAGTGTCAAACCATAGGTCTTAAAGCTAGTGACTATTGTGATCATCCTGTCTGACCTCCTACATAATACATACATTATACATTCACCCAGTAGCTCCTCTATTATACCCAATAACTGGTTGTGGAACTAGACCAGATTTTTCAGAGAGATGCTCAATCTTGATTTAGAGACTTCAAGGGAATGAGAATCCCTTAGGTAAGCTCTTTCAATGGATAATTATCTTCACTATCAAAAATGTATGCCTTTTTTCTGGCATGAAATTTTCTAGCTTCAACTTCCACCAATTTGATCTTTTTATGCTATGTTAAAGAGCTCTCTAGCATGTCTCTAGTTTAACTATGGCATTTTAGACCTATGAAAAATTACAAAAATGAATCCATTCTTTAAAAAAAAATCATTTGTGTTGTACAGTCAAACACCTGAACCAAGATTTTCAAACCTGGCTACCTAGTTAGGCAGCTGAATCTATCATAGACTCCTAATAAAAATGGCCCAATTTTCTACAGTGTTGAGCACTCACAAATCCCTTTGGAGCTACAGGTGCTTTATAAAGAAGCGTTTCAGAGTAGCAGCCGTGTTAGTCTGTATCCGCAAAAAGAAGAACAGGAGTACTTGTGGCACCTTAGAGACTAACAAATTTATTAGAGCATAAGCTTTCGTGGACTACAGCCCACTTCTTCGGATGCATATAAAGAAGCCCACTCCTATTTAGGTGCCTAAGCAGAGATTTAGTAGCCTATTTTAGGCACTCGAATTGGAAAATTATGGCTTTGGCTCTTGGGGAATATCAGGCCCTTACTGAAACACAAAGACCCAGTAGGCTCGGCCGCCTTTGATGTAAATCCTTTGCCCAATTTGCTTTCCCTGATTAGTTTGTCCAAAGGATAAGAAATGAATCTCCACCATGTGGTGTAAACAGCTGTTCTGCCTCACCTGATCGCTTTACTCGCCTTTATTCTTTCCAGCGACAAGCGCTTAGGGACCCATCCTGCCCCCATTGCAATCAGCAGCAACACTTCAATGGGAGCAGAATCGGGCCCTTGAACAGATCAGACTGGGGCCGCTCTGTGGACACTACCGCCTCCCTGTTCGGTCGCTCTCGACCAGCAGCCTGCGGGGCGGTAGCCGAGATCTGGCCCCACGCCCCGTGCTCAAAACTGCACCTGCAGAGGGTCTGTGTCTGCAGAGGACACAAGGGGTCGCACCTCCCCCGGCATTGGAGCTCAGCACAAGCGCCTGAAAACGCAGGCAAGGTGCAGAGAGAGGGAGAAAGGCAAAGACACTTGGGATTGGCCCAGTGGCTACTACCCCCACCTTCAACCTTCTCCCCCCCCACACGCCAAAAGGAGAAAGAAACTATGAGCCCGGATCCTCAGTTCTGTGGGACAGCCCCCTAAGCACCCCCACTCCTCACAACGGGGGACACGGTGTAGCGAGTACAGGCAAAGAGAACAGACGGTGGTCCCCAGTGCTCATCAGCCGACACCACCCCTGCGAGGCCAGGCCTCCCCCCGGGAGAGTTTAAAGACTCAGATACAGCCTAAGCCTCAGGGAGGCTCCCACCTGCACACAGCCTCCCACCCACTTGACAGAGCGAGTGACCCACAGGAGGCTCAAATGCACGGAGCCGAGGAGACAGTGCTAAGGACCAAGTGTTGGGTGTTTATAGGCCAAATCCCGAGGGCTTCCCTGAGCTAATCCTTATTTCCATGGGAGCTTGCCAGGGTGAGATCCCAGGGTTTGAGCCCGTCGGGGCAGTTTGAGCTGGGTGGGTGTTCTTCCCCTCCCTTCCACCCCAGCCTAAACCGATCTCTCCTTCCATCTTCTCGACTGGAGGGGCAGAGGGAGGCTGCTTCGGGCTTGAAGCTGGTTGATTTGTGGAGGGCAGCTTCTCCTTTTGGGACTGTGCCCGCTAGGAGCTCCAGGAGTGGGTGGGGAGTTATCAGAACACGAGCCGGTCCCTCGCCAAGGGTAATAAATCGGGCGCCCTGATATGTTTTACTTTGCCCGCCCTGCTCCCTCGCTGAGCGGCCTTGGGGACTGGGCAGACTTCAGCCCTCGGGGCTGTCACTCCGGAGCTACGTTTCAAGGGCACTTTAGGTGAATCAAAGCTCGCATTCAAGAGGCCAGTGATACAATGGAAGCTTTCAAGGAACAGTTATGCCAAGGTGGAGAGGGGAAAGCGGAGCAAAAGCTAGGAAATAACCCCGTGTACTGTTTGATGAAATACAGGCGGCCGTTGTGTTCGGACACTTCCCCCCTCATATCAGGAGCTGTCGGGGCAGACAGAAATAAGCAGCCCGTTTCAAGCACCGTGGCTAGAAAGTGTCAAAGGAAGCCGGGTTCGCTCTAGATCAGGGGACCTGGGCAGAAATGAGCGAGAAAAATGGTCCTTACTACGCTAATTGACTCTCTTCTGCGAGCATCGGCCTTTCCAGACCTGTCAGTCACACCCTCCTTCCCCATCTCGTGGGAGTTTATTCTGAGGGGAATCAGACACTTGATCCAAAGCCCACAGAAGTCAATCGAAAGGCTCCCCTTGATTCTGGATCAGATCCTAACGCCCCTACGGTGTAGACTGGGAGAAGTCTGTCCCAGAAGACTATCCAAGAAAACTATAAAACTCCCCACCACTGCCCAAGATTTGGGCAGGCCCCTCTTTGCAAGCTGCTTTCTAAGGGGTTTTCTGGTTGATTGATTGGTTGTTTTTTTCTGCCTTGAGTCTGGATTCTGACCCCGAAGAGCTCTGCTCCTTACTGGCCAAACCAAATGAAGAGAACAGTTTAACCTGGACGGGAAAACAATGCGGCGCTCAAAATCCGCCTGCTTACGCCCAGCATTGCAAACCCATCCTCTCTCGGCGCACTACGCACATACTCTCGTCAGCTGCGCTTCTTCCATGACTTTCCCTGTAGATCTCCCCCACCCCACCCCAAGGCCATGTGGCTCCTGTTTGATTTGTTACGGGTCGGGATAAGAAGGCAGAAATTAACTTTCTTCATTCCAGGGGTTTTCACACTATCGCGAGCTTACCGCTAGAAACAGCGGTTTCCTCAGTACTCTAGGAAAAATCGTGGTGCAAAAACTCTAGGGTCTTTCTCGGCAGGACTCGCAAGAACTCAGGTGAAAAATTTTGATGACTAAGGACAAGTATCAGGTCAAAATCGCCGGTGAGCAAACTGCATCCCAGCACCAGTGACTCACCGCTGGACGGGTGATGTTAAAGATGCCTGAGAAGGCAACAGGGTTAGTCCATATCGGGAGTGAAAAAATGTCCTTTTCCTCATCCCTGAGTGATGACAGGGTGTGGGGTAATGCGATCGCTCCAGAAAGGTAACTGCAATTTAATTCTGAGCTAATCTGATCCACTTGTAATAAGGGAGGATATTCGGGTTGTTTTTTTCCCTTTAGAAAGAAAAACATTCCAACGCGTTACATCACCTCCCAGACCAGCCTTAATTAATAATAATAATAATTAATAATAATGATAATGAACTACAGGAAAGGACTACAGTCTCAGTAAATCTAACTGTTGAAATACCGGAGGGTTAGTTTAATTCCTGTTCCTGGCTATATCTTTTGCCAGGGCAGCAGGATGTGGGGAGACAGGAGGTTACCGAACAGGTGAATAGCACAGGAAGGGACTAGACGTTAGCAGGTATAAATCTCTGCGCACTTACTTCTTCCCTGTCGCCGTACCCTGGAGGCGTGCTGGGTTCCAATGTATTCCATCAAGTTCAAAGTGATAAAAAACCAAGAAATCAGTCGCAATTGCATAGTAACCCCGGGATAGTTCGCCTTCTCTTATTTTTTTGGGGGTGGGGAATAACACCGCAGTAGAGATACCTGCACTGATGTCTCCCACTGAGATCCAGGTCCTTCCTCCTCTATTGCACTTTCAAATTGTCCGAACAATTGTCTTCTGCAAATTTCAGAGGGATGTCACCGAGGAGAAGGAGCCCTGAAGCAGCGGCGAGGGTCCATGCTGTTGCAAAGGCAGGCAGCATGTTGCAGGGTTCTAGGGGGTGCGGCGTTGAAGGGGGAAAAGGGGGGGCTCAAACTCCGCTACAGCGAAGGATTGCTTAGCTCACATTCAGTTCCTCGGCTACAGCCTCCATGGGCAGGTGGGGTGGGGACCCCCCGTTTCTCCTGGCTGCCACTGAACCCCCCCACGCCTCATGCAGGAGCTGCTGGTTGAGTCTGCTGAAGTTCTCCCGGGGAGAGTCGCACAGGCTGCAGGGGTTCCGTGCAGGAGAACTGACCCAGAGCACCCAACAACTGTCGGGGGGCAGGAGTGAATAAGCCACGCAGCTCTCAGGATGGAGTTAAGGATTCCCCTATGCTCTCACAGAGGAGTCTGCACCAAAAGCATCTTCCAGGGGCAGGCGAGGGCGAGCGCAATAGGGAATTGAAGCAGCCGCAGGCTGGGGTGCGAGGATGAGGTGCGCTCCGGGACTGCCCAAAGCACAGTGGAGTTGAAGGATCTAGACAACCGGGGTCGTTTCCGCGGCTCTGGGTTCAAAAGGCAGCAGCTGCAGCTCGCCTCAGCAATTCCTCCCTCTGCTGCACCGTGAGGGGAACTCGCCCTGCTTGCAGCCTCCTTCCTGGCAGCACTGCTGGGCTGGCTGACTGCAATCTCTCTGCCTCCCTCTCTCGCCCTCCCCCCCTTCCGCGGTGGGATTTTTCAAGCCCACATGGAGTGTGCAAAGCGGACTCCAATAGGCCGTGGGGCAGTCCTAAACGGAGCCTCCAATCGCCGCCTGGCTGCTCTGCCTGAGATTAGAGAGGGAGGGAGAGATGCGCGCGGGTCTGGGTGTGCGCCCAGCACCCTCTCGTTGGAAATGCCATTGTGTCTTGCCTCCTTCCCCAGAGCGACCAGCCCTCACCACAGCCTGCCTCAGAAGATGCCCCAAAAGGAAGATAATTGGGGGGCACTAGAGATGCCACTTTTCCCTCTCTGGAAATACTGAGCGTCTTGCTTTGTCAGTTCCAGAAGGATACTGGCAGAGTGACAAAGCAGAGCACCCCATTGGCAGGATTTCAGTAGCAGAGAAATGTCCTTCAAGATTTAAGTGTTATGTTCTGCCTCTTCCCATCCGACTTAGTTTACATTGGATTAGACCCCCCCCCCCCCCCCCCGACGGGCCCTTTAAAGAAGGGACTTGATTCACACACACAGTTTTCTCCGCCTCGAAAACAGAGGTCTTTTACGATTAGGAAAGGTAACAATTTTTTGTTTGGTTGGTTGGTTGGGGTTTTTTTAGGAATAGTTTTTTGAGCTCTCGACCCTTTAAGAGCCTTTCTTATTAATGATGTTGAGGTTTAGTTCAATAAACAATCATCATTAGGAGACACAGAGGAGTCTCTTTCCACAAACCTTCAAAGTTAAAAACCTCATGTGCCCATTTATAACATGGCACTCAAAGTCTGAACCCCAGTGGGAACGCGCTGGGACTGACTGCTAGCTTGGGGAAAAACAGAACACCTGGAATATGTATGGTTTGATGCAAGCTTTCTCAGCGGGAACATGTTACTCTCTGTTTATTTTTGCATACATATGACCATTTCCCACTAAACATGCATGTTTGTATCCCATTTGCCTTTCAGTCAGATGTTGGGACCTTTACTAGATGGCTAAAAGTCCAAACATAACCAAGATTATACATATCTTTTTAAAACCTCATTTTATTATTTAGCAGAATAATATCTACTGTCTACTTCAGGGAATTTTTTTTCCTGTGAGGTCAGGGTTGTGAAAGGCTGCAACATACCACTCCCTTGCTCGCTTTGCATATTATCTATTTGTAGGTCTCTGAAAAGGAGAACCAGTTACAACAACTTGATTAAATCAGGGATCTTTATAAAAGTCCCATTTTTAACTGTTTTTCTCCGTCTGCCTTTGCCCCGCTCGCAGAGTTGTTAAATATCTGTACCATAAAATGTGGGGGATTTCAAGGACTGTGGGAGGCTCCCTTTGAAAAGGACTCCAGGGAAAGTCTTTCTAATCCAGGATACTTGAGCCGGATAGGATGAGATTGCCAGAGAGACATAAAATTTAAAAAAAGCAATTCAATGGACAGCCTCAGGGATATATACGCTCACATGAAGAAAGGGGCCTTCGCTTTTTTGTTCGGCTTTGGTTTGTTTGTGATACAGGCTTTCGTATGCGTGTAATCTCAGGACGAGCCAGACGGGTGGGATGTAAGTAAACACGCCTGGGAAGCATTGAGGGGATACGCGTTCGAGCCAACCTGCAGCAAGAGCAACAGCTCAGCTTCAGAAGCGTTAGCGCCGCCGGGCAGAGAAAGCATGTCAAAAAATAAACGATCCTCGAGGAAACATAAGGAAAACATTAAATAAACAGGGAGTACATTCCCGCTCTCCTCTGACAATCAGAGTAACTCCTTTCACCAGAGCTCGTCTGCCTCAAGCCGATTTCCTCATCTGCCTCTGTTATACGATGGACCAAGCATTACACCGATTCCCCAGAATATTTACCCTTCCCCTTTATTTCCCAGATACTGTACGTGTCAAGCCAAAGCATCCCACAATCGTACCCAGCAGACCACACTCTGTAGGTGAAAATGGACGCAGAGCAAGACACAGTATCCTCATGTGTAGTCGTAGGGCCAAAGAGAAGGGAGGTTCATTGGTTAGTTTTTGGAAGAACGAGTGATCAGAGGTAACATAGGAGTCGCGGGGAGCAAGATCTGATGATTTGCCGAGGAAAAAGAGGCTCAGAGTCACAGACCAGCGAGAAAAAGCTGGGTCTTAACTTGAAAATAAATGGTATTTGCAAGACCGCCCAGAGTCCATGAGACAGGGAAGCTGAGCTAGTGGGCAATGTGTAGAGAGCCAGGTTACCGCTCCAAACCAACTCCTCTGACAGACTGTTTTTACCAATTGCTGCAGTTATGTGCTAAAATGAGAAGATTTATATTGCTAATGTCAGGCTGTCGCGTGTGGAAGGAGTTTGTGCCAGAGGGAAAGTCTGGCATGAGATTTTATCTTAATGTCACTTATCATGATGAGTTATCAATGGCAAAGTTCATGCTGACATCAATTATAACACAAATCCAACATGCACGCCTGGGAACTGAACTAGGCAGCCGTACAGGGTACCTACAGAGTCAGAGCCGATGCGGCTGCAAGCAATGAGGCGAATCATTTTTAAAAGGCGGCTATGGCCAAGGTCCTATGAAATGAAGAGTCAGAAGAATACACAGCAAAGAGAGTTGAATGTAATATTTCTTTGCAACTGAAACCAACACATGCAGTTCCTAGTGTGTGTGTGTGTGTGTGTGTGCGTGCGTGCGCGTGTGTGTACATTTGACTTTATTAAAGAAAAAAAATGACTGAGGACCCATATTGCTTCAGGAAAGTGAAAGATTTCTCAGCTTGCTGTGTTATTGATCTATCATTAAAACCAGCAGCAGTGGATTCCAACATCAGCTGTGCATTGTAGTTTTTTTTAATGAAAATAAATCTTGTAATCAAAAGAGGAATAGCATCCTGATTTCCAAATTGCAAATATTACTGTACATTTATTTAAGAATGTTCTATTGATATAAAACGAATATAAAATTTAGACTTAAAAACAGTTAACGGCTCCATTTTATGCAATATTGGCATGCTTAGATTTTCAAATTATCTTGGAATAAAAAGGAGCCGGTATCAAGAATTTCAGATTACATCCAAAATAAGAATTTAAAATGATGATATTCTTTTAAAAATCCATTACTAGTTGATATTTTGCATTTTAAAAATATTTTGGTCAAAAACTACCCACTTGAACAAGGGTTGCTGAATTCGGACCCTCTGTCATTCCTCGCCACAGTGGAAATAGACAGTTTGCCTAAAAGTGAACAAAAGGACCATCAACTTGTCTTTTCTTTTAGAAGAAGAGAGCACAAGAAATGAAGGAGTTAGAGTAATTTTGATGCTTAGTCCCAAGGGGAATAAAACCTACTGTATGAACCATAATTTTCTTTCCTTTTCAGGTGTGCTCACTGCGCTAAGACTGTGCAACCCACACTCACATTGGTGAGAATTTACTCCCAGAAGTACCCATTTACTTTAGTGAGTAATGCTCACCAAAGAGAGTAAGGGCTGCAGGACACCTTGGGTAAGTCCCCAGTCACAATCCAGCACATCTGCTATTACTATTTGTTAAGCACTGACAATATGCTTGGTGACACAAGACCCAAAATAACAACAGTCCTTGTCCCACAGTTTTTACAAACTAAACAAGACAGACACAGAGCAACCTGGACATGCTGCTGGGAAGCACACAGAAGGGAATAACTAGGGTTGTGTGTGTGTGTGTGTGCTTCCTAAAATAACCCATTTGTTCCTGAGTCATGTTCAATTTAGGAGTTTAATCTACTGTAACATTGCAAGCATTCTCACTAGCTGTTAATATCACAAATAGGGAATTATGATCTCATAGTTTAAATAAACTGGAAGAAATGAGTGATGAGAAATGATTTACTTGAAGTAAGTTCGAGCTACGATGGTTTGTTTGCTGCACTTATTTTTTAAATAAACTGGTTCCTAAAACTCCAGTCCTGCAGTCTTTGAAAAGCAACTTATACTTTAGACATTTTAACAGATGTAATGACAGGGTGTTAGTAAAAATGTACAATAGGGAACAATCCTACATTGGCAGGAGACAGACTAGATGACCTAATTGGTTTTTCCCATCTCTAATGTCTGCAATTCTGTCATTGTAATAAAAGCCCATTGAAGCCAAAGGCAGTTTTGCCTGTGTAAAATCTGGAGCCTTGGGCCCTAAATTAGCAAGTTAGCTCAGAGTGTTCCTCACTTTTGGGCCCGACCCAAAGCCCATTAAAGTTAGTGCAAGTCTTTCCATCAGTGTCAGTGGGTTTGGGGTCAGGCCATCTAGATGCTATTGGAAATGAGCTGACTTTCTGATTTATGGTATGTAAGAATAAAAGAGTATTTTTGGGAAACGTGGGCAGATTCTGTAGTACGAATGCTTAGTAAGCAGCCCAGTTAAGAAAGTGCAAGCAGGTGAGCCCTCATTATCAGTAACTAAGTAAAACTGAGGGCTTGTCTACATGGGAAAGTTTTACTAGTTACATCTGTATAATTATCCTGATTAAACCATTGCTAAATCATTGTTTCTTTGTATTCCCCCATCTGTCTGTCTGTATCTCATATGTCTCCTCTTATGCTTAGATGCAAACTCTTTTGGGGCAGGGACTTTTTTTTTGTTCTGTGTTTGTACAATGCCTGGCACAACGGGGTCCTGGTCCATGACTGGGGCCCCCAGTTGCTACAATAACACAAATAATAAATAATAAACTGATGTAATGATACTACTATAATTCCCTGCGTGGACACTTATTCCAGAACAAGAGTCAGGTTTTTTTGTGAGTTTGCGGCTTTTCTTAAATCCCTTCCAAAGCTATATAAGCTAGACCAAAAAAAGGCATTCTTATACCAGAATAAGTGGGACCATGTGCGGAGACACACCAGTATACTTTGACTGCATTAAATTCACACCTTGGTATATACTGGTATAACTTTCCCATGTTGGCAATCCCCCAAGGTAGTGGGAGTTTTGAAGGAGTAAGACTGCAGGATATGGTTAACATAGAGCAAAGGTTTTCATGGGGACCCCAGGCTCTGACTCTGTTTGCTTATTTATTTGCTTTTCTATA